TTGGCTTCTTCCTTCCCTAGAAAATAATTTATGGCTTATGCCAATCTGCAGTATGTTATGAGCTGGGTAATTTGTCACTAATCCGTATGGCTGTTTTCTTGTTTGCAGATGAATAGGGAGAAGCTTATGAAAATGGCAAATTCCGTCCGCACTGGCGGAAAGGGTACCATGAGGAGGTCTGAATCTTTGTTTGATGAGCTGAAAATATTTTCCTCTGAAATTAGCAGAAAGTTCAGTTGCAAGTGTCAGAAGAACTCTTAGATTATGTTTTTTTGTAATTGGCTTAAATATTGGTGTTTTGTTCTTTATGTGCTTGCTTTTTGTCCTTTTCACCTCAAGGCTCTGGATGCTATCAATTTTGATTGTTTTATATCTATGATAGAGAAGTTCATTTTTCTATGTTTTATATCTATCATTTGGTTTTCTGCCTATACATGATATATATTCTTTATTTATAGAAAGAAGAAGGCTGTCCACAAGACAACAACTACAGATGATAAAAGGCTTCAGAGTACCCTCAAGAGAATAGGAGTGAATGCCATACCTGCAATTGAAGAAGTCAACATATTTAAGGATGATGTAGTTATTCAGTTCATAAACCCTAAAGGTATAGAGGATGTGATAATTAATTAGCTCCTTCACATTTACCTCCTTTTGGTTCAGGTGGTCTTTCTTACCCTATTTTTTTTTATCATGTTACAGTGCAAGCTTCTATTGCTGCCAACACATGGGTTGTTAGTGGTTCTCCCCAAACTAAGAGTAAGTCCCTTATTTGATTCTCGAGATTTTTCTGTGTTAATGGAATTTGCCATTTCTATGCTGCCATCCCACTGTTCTACAAACCCCATCAAGAAAATTAGGTGTATTATGGTAATTAAGAAGTTTGATCAGTTTGTTTATTTGGGAATTGATGAGATTTTTATTGATTCTCCTCTCCGCAGAGTTGCAAGATATCCTTCCTCAAATTATCAGCCATTTGGGTATGCAGATACAATGCTCTCTCTTTTAAAAATATTTGCAATCTTTTATATGGTTTCTAATCAGATTGTACCATTACAGGACCAGACAACTTGGACAACTTAAAGAAGTTGGCAGAGCAGTTCCAGAAGCAGGCTCCTGCTGCTGGAGCTGGTGCTACAGCAGGACAAGAGGATGATGACGACGACGACGTCCCTGATCTTGTGGGCAATTTTGAGGCTGTAGCCGAGGAGGGACAAGCAACTCAAGCTGCCCCATCTTAAAAGACCTGCAAGGCAACCTTTGTGCTATTCTACATATTTTCAATGTTGAGATTTAACTTGTTTCCAAATTTAGGTCTTTCATCATGTCTTTATCTAATGCATGTGACACACTTGCTAGTCTGTTACTTTATTGGCTTGCTTCTTTCTTTTTCTGGCTCTCTCTG